ATGGGGCAAAAACATTGTCGCGGGTGGTTCTGGGTACATGTCGTCAGGCCCCCCTCCTTCGCTCCCTCCCTCCGTGAAAGCAACGGCAAAAAATCGTTTCTCGCCTTTTTTCCTGGGTTACCCGTCCAGACGACATACCACGGCAAGCATGGAGCCCGCTCAGCTCACTGTCACCATACGACTCCTGGGTGCTGCTGGCAGACACGGTACTGCAGTGCTACACAGCAGCAGCTCCTTGCCTTTGCAAGTTAGCAAAGACAGTTAGCAGCCGTATTGCACCGTCTGCTGCTGTCTCCTGGTTGCTCCTGGCCGGCCTCGGTGAGGTCGGTCGGGGGCGCCCTGACAGAAATGGGTGCTCCTGGCCGGCCTCGGTGAGGTCAGTCGGGGGGCACCTGGACATAAATGGGAGTGACTTCAGGTCATTCTCTTCTTTAAGTTTTGTCTAATGGAGATTCAGTCCTGCCTGGAATATCATGCCAGCTGGAGGCTTTTGCCTCAGGCTGCTCTCCCAGCTGGCAGCACCGCACAGTCGGACCTACCCCAGCCTACCCCTTGCTCCCATGGCTCATGAAGCCTTGACAGTAGTAAGGAGCAGTCCAACTATAGGTTGAGCAAGTGCCTTTGGATGTTTAAAATCTCGCTGGTGCTGTTTGCTGACTAGGCTGTTTGCGATTAGAAGAGCACAGCAAGGCGCGCTGCGCATCAGAGAGGCTTTGAAAACCAGTTTCATGACTGGCCAGGCTTCGATGTGACAGTTGTGTGTGTTTCTCCTTGATGCAAAACCGCCCCCTTTGTTGATTTTAATTCCCATGGACACAGACTTATCTCAAAGCACGGGCCCTGGCAATTTGGACATCATGGTGGTAATGGGGCAGGTTCGTGCTGTTGAATGCCGATTCTGGGCCCGGGAAACAAGCAGAGACTGGTGGGACCGCATAGTGTTGCAGGTCTGGGATGATTCCCAGTGGCTGCGAAACTTTCGCATGCATAAGGGCACTTTCATGGAACTTTGTGACTTGCTTTCCCCTGCCCTGAATCACAAGAATACCAAGATGAGAGCAGCCTTCACAGTTCACAAGCGAGTGGCAATAGCCCTCTGGAAGCTTGCAACGCCAGACAGCTACCGGTCAGTCTGGAATCAATTTGGAGTGGGCAAATCTACTGTGGGGGCTGCTGTGATCCAAGTAGCCAACGAAATCACTGAGCTGCTGCTATCAAAGGTAGTGACTCTGGGAAATGTGCAGGTTATAGTAGATGGCTTTGCTGCAATGGGATTCCCTAACTGTGGTGGGGTGATATACGGAACGCATATCCCTATCTTGGGACTGGAGCACCAAGGCAGCCAGTATATAAACCGCAAGGCATACTTTTCAATGGTGCTGCAAGCACTGGTGGATCACAAGGGACGTTTCACTAACATCAACGTGGGATGGCCAGGAAAGGTACATGACGCTCCTGTACCTCAGGAACTCTGGTCTGTTTGAACAGCTGGAGAAAGGGACTTACTTTCCAGACAAGAAAATAACCGTTGAAGATGTTGAAATGCCTATAGTGATCCTTGGGGACCCAGCCTACCCCTTAATGCCATGGCTCATGAAGCCATACACAGGATCCCTGGACAGTAGTCAGGAGCGGTTCAACTATAGGCTGAGCAAGTGCAGAATGGTGGTAGAATGTGCATTTGGACGTTTAAAAGCACACTGGCGCAGTTTACTGACTCGGTTAGATCTCAGCGAAACCAATATTCCCATCGTTCTTACTGCTTGCTGTGTGCTCCACAATATCTGTGAGAGTAAGGGGGAAACGTTTATGGTGGGGTGGGAGGTTGAGGCAAATTGCTTGGCTGCTGATTACGTGCAGTCCGACACCAGGGTGGTTAGAAGAGCACAGCAGGGCGCGCTGCGCATCAGAGAATATAATATATGGAGATATACCTATCTCAGAGAACTGGAAGGGACCCCGAAAGGTCATCGAGTCCAGCCCCCTGCCTTCACTAGCAGGACCAAGTTCTGATTTTTGCCCCAGATCCCTAAGTGGCCCCCTCAAGAATTGAACTCACAACCCTGGGTTTAGCATGCCAATGCTCAAACCACTGAGCTATCCCTCAAGCTTTGAAAACCAGTTTCATGACTGGCCAGGCTACGGTGTGAAAGTTCTGTTTGTTTCTCCTTAATGAAAACCTGCCCCCTTGGTTCATTCTACTTCCCTGTAAGCCAACCGTCCTCCCCTCTCCCTTTTGATCACCGCTTGCAGAGGCAATAAAGTCATTGTTGTTTCAAATTCATGCATTCTTTATTAATTCGTCACACAAATGGGGGAATAACTGCAAAGGTAGCCCGGGAGGGGTGAGGGAGGAGGGAAGCACCGGGTGGGGTGGTGGAGGAGGGGAGGAGGAAAGGACAAGGCCACACTGTACTTCAAAACATATTTATTGAATGCCAGCTTTCTGTTGCTTGGGCAGTCCTCTGGGGTGGAGTGGTTGGGTGCCCGGAGGCCCCCCCACCGCGTTCTTGGGCGTCTGGGTGAGGAGGCTATGGAACTTGGGGAGGAGGGCAGTTGGTTACACAGTCTGTGCTCCTGCTGCCTTTCCTGCACCTCAACCATACGCTGGAGCATATCAGTTTGATCTTCCAGTAGCCTAAGCATTGCTTCCTGCCTCCTCTCATCACGCTGACTCCACCTATCATCTTGATCCCGCCACCTCTCCCCTTGATCCCGCCACCTGTCCTCTCGCGCATCCATCCTGTCCTTGCATTCATTTTGTGCTTTCCTACACTCTGACATTGTCTGCCTCCACGCATTCTGCTGGGCTCTTTCAGTGAGGGAGGACTGCATGAGCTCAGAGAACATTTCATCGCGAGTGCATTTTTCTCGCCTTCTAATTTTTGCTAGCCTCTGGGACGGAGGTGATACGGGGAGCGTTGAAACATTTGCAGTTGCGGGAGGAAAAAAAAGGGAGAGTAGTCTGTAAAAAGACACATTTTAGAGAACAATGGGTAGACTCTTTCACAGTGAACCAAGCTGTTAACATTACATAGCACGTGTGCTTTCTTTACAAGGTTGCATTTTGCCTCTTATATTGAGGGCCTGCCGGTTTGGTGTGAGAGATCACACACGCAGGGCCGGCAGGCAATAGAATTCGGCTTGCAGGCAGCCATGGTAAGCCACAGTCTTTTGACTTCTTTAACCTTTATAACATGTGGGAATGGTTTCAAACAGCAGCGCCCTCATTTCACATACCAAGAACCCGTTGGGTTGGCCATTTAAAAGGAGGGGTTGCGGTTTTCGGGTTAACGTGCAAGCACAAACCCAACTAAACCCTCCACACACACCCGATTCTCTGGGATGATCACTTTACCCCTCCCCCCCTCCGCGTGGCTAACAGGCTTTGGGAGTACTTCCAGGAGAGCTTAATTGAGATGTCCCTGGAGGATTTCCGCTCCATCCCCTTACACGTTAACAGACTTTTCCAGTAGCTGTACTGGCCACGAATGCATCCCAAGTCTTCAGGGCAAATTAATTATTAAACACGCTTGCTTTTAAACCATGTATTATATTTACAAAGGTACACTCACCAGAGGTCCCTTCTCCGCCTTCTAGGCCTGGGAGTCCGCCATTGATGGAGTCCACGCACAGGGCTGGGGTAGTTGTAGGGGCACCCCCTAGAATGGCATCCAGCTCATTATAGAAGCGGCATGTCTGGGGCTCTGACCCGGAGCGGCTGTTTGCCTCTCTGGCTCTTTGGTAGGCTTGCCTGAGCTCCTTAAATTTCACACGGCACTGCTGCGGGTCCCTGTTATAGCCTCTGTCCTTCATGCCCTTGGAGATTTTTTCAAATGTTTTGGCATTTCGTCTTTTGGAACGGAGTTCTGATAGCACGGATTCCTCTCTCCATACAGTGATCAGATCCAGTACCTCCCGTTCGGTCCATGCTGGAGCTCTTTTGCGATTCTGGGACTCTATGGTTCACCTGTGCTGATGAGATCTGCACGGTCACCTCTGAGCTCGCCACACTGGTCAAACAGGAAATGAAATTCAAAAGTTCGCAGGGCTTTTCCTGTCTACCTGGCCAGTGCATCTGAGTTGAGAGTGCTGTCCAGAGCAGTCACAATGGAGCATTCTGGGATAGCTCCCGGAGGCCAATACCGTCGAATTGCATCCACACTACCCCGAATTCGACCCAGCAAGGTCAATTTCAGCGCTAATCCCCTTGTTGGGGAGGAGTACAGAAATCGATTTTAAGAGTTCTTTAAGTCGACAAAAATGGCTTCGTTGTGTGGATGGGTGCAGGGTTAAATCGATCTAACGCTGCTAAATTTGACCTAAACTCGTAGTGTAGACCAGGGCTTAGTGTAAATCCTCTCCTCCTATAAAGGTACTCTCTAGAGTACCTAGCATTATGGTGCCACTAAAGAGAAGAGACAAAATGACTGAAGTGAGGGGCCATTTATACCAAGGGACCTCTGGTGAGTGTACCTTTGTAAATATAATTATTAATTAGGTTTTTTTGTTCTTCTTTTAGTAGTGTTCTTATGGGTGCGCCACTTCAGGTGCGCATGTGCCTATGCACCTAAAGTGCTGCACCCTTAGGGGGACACATCTTGAAGCAATCTAGTTACTGCACCTGGTGAGTAACCTCTCCTCTTTTTTTGCTTTCTGGTAGGTGGTGCCATAACACTAGCTGTTCTACATGTTTGCTCTGTAAGAGGGGGGGGAAAGAACTCTTGACAAACCAATGTACTGGAACATATTTCCTACTCTGAAGAGAACAGTTGACTGTCTTTGCATTGTTTAAAACAAAGTATTGGGGGGTGGGGAAATCAAGGTGGGAGGATTGTTTCTGATTTGTAACAATTCTTCGTATTTCTTTCAGTACCTAAGTCCTCTGTGGCTTCTGCTGTTTCTGGAAATCCACAATTAACCTGAAGATTTAAAAAACTGCCTCCTCTATAGAACTTTTTTTTCCTCGCTGCTTGTGATCCAATTTATACAGATATAAAATGTCTAATTCTAAATATGTGAATGATGAAGACTTTGATGATGACATCCCCACCCAGAATGTTATTCAACAAAGCTTGCAGCATATCCATAAAAGTGAGACACTTACAGATTCTGCAGAGAGTGATAGGTAATACTTTGCTGTGGAGTATGTTCTGGCAGTGTAACTGGGAGCTATGTTACAAGCTATTACTATGTAATAGTCTATTTATGTTAGTATTTTTATATGTAACCCTGCACGATAATGCTTGCCATTGTAGACTGCTTGCTTAATGTTACTGAGGTTCATCTACAAGCTGCCTCTCCTTTTATATGTACACATAATAGAGGGGAGCTGTTTGAAATTTTCCCAAGTGAAATTTGAGAGCACTTGAAACTTACTTGTTTGGGGGTTTCAGTGCACATTTATACCACATTCATCAAAAGGGTGACTAAAGTTCACAAATCTTATATTTTTGTGCTTGTACAAACCTAGGACTTCCAAATAACTCTTGGGAGGGAAAGAGGTGTGAATCCATGTAAACTGAAATTGAAGAATATATTTATATTGTACTCTTTGAAAATTATTATATATGAGCTAAGAGTTATGGTTTATACTGGTACAGGCTCTAACAAAGAAAAAGCCCCATGTTCTATGCAGCTATAACATGCAATACAAACTATTTTTCTATATTAAAACTTGAGTTCTAATTATATGCTTATCCTTCATCATTGGGATTTTTGTTACGAAGATTAGGAACTGTGATCAAGAGAATGTGAAATTCAGCTTCCTTTTCAAAGTGAATGCGTTTCATTGAGTCACAATAGGTAACTAGTGCAAATTGGGAATAAGCAAATAATAGAAAAAAAGTAAGTAAAATAAATAAGTAAATTTTGTGAATATCTACTATTTACAAAACAAATCAAAATGATTCTGCTCTGTTATTAAGCAGCAGATAGTTACAGCATTTACTTATTTATTTTTACTTTAATAGCATGCATATTTTTCCTTTAACTGATATAAATTATAATTATTTTGTTCTGTTTGTGCAGATTCCAGTTTGTTATGAGCACAGAACATGGAAAGATAATCACAGCAATACGGGCAGTTAAGTACAAACACACAAATCATCACTCTATTCTAATTTAATTGGTGTAGGAAGTTTTGTTAAGGACTGAGTAGGTTGCATTCTTCCCTCACTTTCTAAGAACTGAACACCCAGAATGATGTTTTGGGCACTATGCTACTGGAGATTCCATCTTTCAGATGAGATGCAAAATTGAAGACCAGACCACTTATGATCAGTTAAAGATTCCGTGGCATTTTTAGCAAGAGTAGAGGTAGTAAAAGTAGCTTTTGTGTGTTACTCAAATTCTAGCTTAATTTTATTCTGCATAGCTGAAAATTCATATATAGATTCAGTTGGACAAGTATTAACTTCATGTTGCAAACTCTTGTGTAGAGTTCCTTTGAGCTGTTCAGTAGCTGTCATGTTCTATTTCAGAGGCAGCTGAATTTCAAATGTTTATACTAATTATTTATTATTTATATTTTTATACTATTTATTTACTATTTGTATTATTGTAGCATAGGAAGCCTAATTAAGCATTGATTATAAGCATATAATTCTGATATATGCAGCTTCTGAAATGCTTTTGGAGGATTCCTCTAGAGAAAATGAGCCCAATAAATCACTATCATTAGCTCTACATTCATTTAAATCAACCTTAGATAGAAAATTGTTTTGAGAAGCAAAGTTGCCAGTTCTGGCTGTAGTAATGGGGTTGGCGATACTCAAAATATTCCTTGATGTAAGTGGAGTCAAGATTTCAATTGTGTTGACATTTCTCTTTTATGCTAAGTAGTGTGATATAATTCTGCAGGCCAAGAAGCAGACTTGCTGAAGTTGATGAGGCACAGTTCAGCTTTTAAGGAAGCTGATCAGCGAGGCTGGCTTCCTTTGCATGAAGCTGCAGCACAATTAAACAAGAACATCCTAGAAATAACTCTGAAGGGTAAAAAGCATTCTGTGCTCCTCATTTGTAAGTTTTACTAAGTCAGTTTTGATGATTAGTTCCATTCCCAATGTGTGCTATTCTCCTGGGTATCTTTCAGCTTCAGACCCCATTGTGTGGGAGCAGACCAGTCTGAAAGGGGAAACTCCTCTCTTTGTAGCAGTAGACAAATGCTTCTTAGACAATGTCCACTTTCTCCTGCTCAGTGGCTGCAATCCTAATGTTAAGAATGAAGAAGGAGATTCTTCTTTAGTTATAGGTAAATCAAATAATTTTTATGGTGGGGGGAAATTCTATTCATGTCTTTCATTGCATGAAAAATTTGTTTTGTATCTTGCAATCTTTTGTTGTTGACTGTAAAGTCTGTAAAACTTTCAGTTTCCAGAATTTTATATATTTCCATTGGCCATGAGAAAGACAGAGGAACACTTTGTCATTTACTTTTCTTTCCAGTTGGTATCAATGCTTTAACTAAAGCCCAATCCATTCTAAGGACTAACACCCACAAAAGGACTAACACCCAGAAATCCAGTTGAGGACCTGCCTATACTATTAAACAAGTTTCCTCAGACAGGTATGATTGTAGTATAGATGAGCCATAACTAAATGACATATTAGGGATGGTGAATCAGTTCAGATAAAATAAGAATCTGCACAATCTTTCCCTCAAAACTTGAACCATGCCTTTTTTTTTCCAAGTTCAAAGAAAGTTTAGTTAACTTTTTTTCAGAATCCCTCATTTGTGCTTGCTTTTGCACTTCTGGGGGCTGGCCAGGATTGGAAAATGAAGCATCAATGTATTGTGAGAGAGTCTGTTTTTGAAAGATTTTTACCCCTTTGGAGGTCTGAAAGTATCTCATAACTTTGGAGATTAACCACCTCACTTCTTCTAACGATGAACAATAGATACTTCCTCTCTTCCGGCATCAGGGCTATTTGGTGATGTCAGGTGATTTTCTGCAAATCAGGGACTTATTGGCTACTAGAGCTCAGTTATTTCAGTCTCCAGTTGGTGGAGAGTCAATATCTTTGCCAGCTAAGTAAAAAGTTTAAAAAATGGAGTAGGCTACAAAGTCCTATGGGAATTTCTAGGTTCACACCAGCATATGGGATGTTGTGGGACTCTTGCTCCAATGTGCAATGAGCTGTCCCTTGCAGAATCACAACAAAGCTAAGTTCTGCAGGCTCTCCAATGCCGGGCATTGCCCAGGCTGCCAAGCTCTCACATGCAAAGCAGACCCTGCAACTGCTTCTTACCTCCCATAAAGGGGTTGAGAGTGAGAGGTAAAATTTTAAAAAGGGAAAACAAAAAGTTGAGAATTTCTTTCTCAAAGACTCCCTCAAAAGCAAGGAGGTCTAGATGACCCTCCTCTTCCCAAGGCACTCTACATGGCAAGGGTTCAGCGGTCTAGGTGGAACAAGACAGGTCCTCCCCTCAAAAAGGATTCATGTTGCCTTCTTCTGACTCAATCCTAGCTACCACGAACAAGCAAGGACCCTGCTGCAGGGGTGCTGTAACAGTTTGTATAGTGGTGATCCGAGAGCCATTGAACCAAACTGTAAACCCTGTATATGATGGAAACTACTTCAAGCCAGGGGGTGCTGCCGCACCCCAGAACCCCTACTGCCAGCACCTATGCCCTGCTGTCTGAACCTTAGAAGGATGCTATTAATTTCTTAAGTGTGCTCAGAAATTCACATTGTTGGAGTGGTTGTTTTCCTGCACAAGGGCCAAGGAACGAGAAAAGTGAAGAAAAAACATTCTGTAACATCCAAATCCAAGTGGATAAGCCATATAAACAGGGAAACTTGCTTTCAAAGCCAACTACACTAGAAAGTCAGTTGCATCCTTGGCTGAGAAGGTGTACACCTCTCTAATACAGCCACCTGGGTTACATGTTCTCCGCTGTTTAACCTGTAGTATTTGGAGAATGTAACATCAGATACTGCATCGTTTGGTAAAAGTGCTGCAGGCAACTGTGGGACACTAATCTCTCTCTTCTGTATGACAGTGCTCTGCTTTTCAATGGTATAGAAGATCACAGAGATAGAGGGAAATATTCCCCATCTATTAATTCTCTTTCTTAGATATCTCTGTATATAAATAGAACAGCTGAAAGCAGAGTAGAGGCTCTCCTGGGCAGTTGCACAACAGAAACAATAGTGTGTAGAATATTGTTAAATAATATTTTAAATAGCTGATGTTTCACCTATTATCTTACAGCAATTAAACATGATTTATATGAAATTGCCTCCCTGCTGATAAGTTTTGGAGCAAATGTAAACTTGCAGTGTGTCAGTAAGAGGACAGCTTTACATGAAGCAGCCAGACTAGGCAGGAAAGATATCGTGAACCTTCTGCTTTGCTCTGGAGCAGATCCTGATCCCCGCAGTGCATATGGGCTCACTCCCCTAGCGCTGGCTGCACAGATTGGGCATACAGAAATTATGGAAATTTTACTGCGAAAAGGTGAGAATTTATATAAAAAATTTTAACAGTTTGTTATGTTGGTTTAATAACTGGTGGTTGTCAGAAAGATCCTACAAAGTTCTTATTCTTTAGACTAGACAAGGGGTTGAAATTGCATAGCCATGTGTGTTGGCAGAAAATTCATGATTTCAAAATGTTAGTAAATTAATCCCCCTCCCATTGAGGGCATGAATAATTGTCTGTGCGGTGGCAAAGTAGAATTGCTAGCTCCCCTGTTAGTACAATATTACCGTACCAAAATAAGGTTTTGAGTGGAAATGGAAGCCTTGTGACATTCTTACTACTAACATAGTGGACAGGTATTAATATATACAACCTAGTATATAAATTGATGGTTTTGTGTAGAGTGTTTTAGAGTGAATTACACCAGTCACTTTGTATATTCAAGGGTATGCACGTTAGCACATAGGAATGACTTTTTCTGCACAGTATCCTGTTTTTGTTTGCTCACTACAGTACATCTTTAATCACCTGAAGAACTTCACTCTTACAAAATACAGGACAAGCACAGCAGTTAAGAATTGTTGGTATCATTACATAAACTACTAAATTTCAATATTTTTCTAAGACATCCATACTACATTATTTTTTCAAATCATTATTATATCTACCCAGATTCCTTAAGTCTTTCAAAAGTTTTGTGGTTAGAATACTGTTAAACTAATCATCATATGACATGCCTTTTACACATAGCACAGATAACATTTGTTACTAAAGGGATACCTCCAACTAAAGGAGCTTTGTGACCAAGCAACATAAATGCATAAACACAACACAATGGAATGTTTTAAATATATTCCTTCCCAAAGAGAACTGTAGGCTAAATCTACCTGGCCTTTGTTTACAGTTACAGAGAGCATGTTCATTATGAATTTTCAGTCTTCAGCTAACACTTCATCCTGTACTGTGGCCTAGACACTATTAAATTGAAGATGGGGGAAGAGAAGATAATTGCATTTCCTTTTCCTCTTGATTGCCATTAACTTTGCCATGAAAAAAATGTAAATGTCATGTTAATGGCCACTTCACTTTGAACGGTCCCTGGCAATATTTATACTAAACAATCTGTTCCATCTTGTATTTAGCTGTAGCACTCTGACTATATTTCCCAGACCTGAAGAAGAGTTCTGTGTAAGCTCAAAAGCTTATCTCTCTCACCAACAGAAATTGGTCCAATAAAAGATATTATCTCACCCACCTTGTCACTTTAAACATCAAGATTTTGTTGTTAAGACAGTAACTTTTGTTTCTCCTTCATAATGTTGTTTCTGCAGATCTACACTATAAAAGCCTGTCTCTGGCCTTGTCTACCTGAGAACATGTTGTAGTATTTAAACTGAACCACTACGACAGAGGTTTAACCATTACTAACTGACATATGACTTGTGTTTGTATATACCAGGGATCGGCAACCTTTGGCATGCGGCCCATCAGGAAAATCCGCTGGCGGGCCGGGCCGGTTTGTTTACCTGCAGTGTCCACAGGTTCAGCCGATCACAGCTCCCACTGGCCGCGGTTCTCCATTCCCTGGTATACGCCGACCACAAAGTTGTGGTCAGCATTGTGTCAGCTAATGAAAGCATTTCCAATCATGCTTAAATAAAATAGTATTTACTCATGTAGACAAGCCATCTCTGGAAGAGAGTGAGACACTTTGGAGTGGAGGATTTTATCCCCCTTCGTTCTATAATAAAGGGGGATGCATGCAGTCCCCCACACTCAAATTGCCTTGAAATGGATTCCATCAGCATGTGATAGGGCATACACTATCAGAGTGTGGATCTGCAGAGGCATGGGAGTTGTGGGGGGAAGAGGCCAGCAGAAGCTCTCTGTGAATGAGGGGGAGCAAGGGGAGCTACTGAGACTCAGTGAGGAGGGTGGAGGGCTGAGGGATCAGGTCCAAACTCTGAAGGGCATCTTTGCACTTCCTGATGTCCTGTGCACTGAACACCCTCTCTGTCCCGAGCTATGTGCTGGTGCCCTGTCTCCCAGCCCACCCTGGCACATGTGGCCCTGTCCCTTCCCTGGGCTAGGTGCCTCTGCTGGGACCTGCAGTGGCTGGAAGGGGAGGAGAGAAGAGCTGTTCCTACCGGCTCCCCAGCAGCAGGCTTGATCTCCTGCACTGCAACAGTCACTCCAGCTCTTCCTCTGGATCTTGGTCTTGCCACTGCCCCCGATCCCCATGCGAGCCAGGTCCCACTCTCACTTTTACAAGATACAGGGGCGGGGGGGGGGGGAGTGAAAGCATACATAAGTCCCTTTCCCAATATTTCCATTGCAGTGGCAATCTCCCCTCCAGCCCCTGGCAGAGGCAATATATTCAAAAAATAATATTTGGTAAGTGAGCCTTTTTCAGTTTATAGTCTCCATGTCTTTCTGTTGTAATGAAATGTATCTCACTCCTTTTCAGGTCTCTGTTCTGTTGCTTTGTACATTTTTAATTTACCCTTACATATGTTTGTTCTCTGCTGAATTAATTGCACTGTATTTAGTCTAAAAAACAACTATTCATGTAAGAGAATAACACGCAATGCAATCTTCTAATTATGGTGTTTCATTATTATGAAGATTTTTATTACAATAATGCCCAAAGAGATTGGGGCCTTACTGCACTAGGCAATGTACAAACACATAGGAAGTCAAGGATGCTACCTCAAAGGATTTACAGTGAGCGAAAACACTGGCTATTGCTCTAACATTTATGTTTCATGAAGAGTAGAAATCACAGTACTGTAGCAATTGGGGAGTTAGAGATACTAATTGTTACTGGATATTTACAGTAGCTGCTATGAAAACCCTTGTTCCTTCTTCCCCTAGGTGCTGATGTCCTTTCACAGGCAGCTGATTGTGCTTCCATATTATTTGAAGCTGTTGGAGGAGGAAATCCAGATTCACTCTCTCTTTTACTAGAATATGGAGCTGATGCCAATGTGCCAAAACACTCAGGTCACTTGCCTATCCACAGAGCTGCATACAGAGGACACTTTCTGTGAGTTGAAATGAAATAAATATTTGAAAAATAAGAATGAGTAATGATGAATAGGTTCTGCAAAATATGTACATTTAAAGTTTATACAAAAAAAGGCAGTTAAATACCCCCCTCCCACACACAAAAGCAGTGTGTCTCCCTTTGCCTTATAAGCATGAGTCTTCAGTGCCTGAATGTGTCAGGCCAGTCCAGATAGGCTCAGCACTCGCTTTGTTTTGGGGGAAACATTTAACCCCTTACATCTCCTCCTGCTTCCTTCATAAAAATTGTTATTGTTCTTTGAGAGCTGGTCCCTATGCGTAGTCACTGTGGGTGCACATGTGCTCTGTGCACCATGACTGGAAATTCTACAATCTCAATGTCCATTTGGTCTGCACCTATGCCACTTTGTGCTGTGAACTGAGGGCATAAGGGGTGACACAGAAACAACCACCACTCCAGTTCCTTTTCTACTGCTCACACTCTGGAGCGAAGCCCTCTTATGTCCACAGCCTTCTAGCTTCATCAATCCATTCTCTGTAAATATTGTAAATAGTTGTATTAGGTTTTACTGGTTAGTTAGTAGATTCTTAAGTTGTAGTTAGTTAGTGGAGATCAGGTTCCCACCCCCACCATTTTTATTCCCTCAGTGTTCGGGGCACTTAAGCCCAAGATCCAAGGCTTCAAGCCTTGCCTTTTCTGGCCTCCTGTCTTCCCAGTTAGCAATCTGCAGGAGAGTTACCTCTACACTGCCTAGGGGAATCTTACTTCCTGTCAAAGTGTGAGATCTGCTACTCTGTCCCTGCTCATACTAGTGCTCCACCACCATTGTCCTGTCTCCAGACCCAGCCATCTATCAAGAAGTCATTTTGAAAGGATGATTGAGAGATGTCAGCCAGTCTTTGCAAAAACACTCTCTTCCCCCTTTTGGTAACTGTCTAGCCCATTTCCTTTTGATGTGGAAGCATCTAATTTCAGAGAAATTAGTTTTAGACATCTCAATAGGCTATACCATTGAGTTTCTGGCTACCTCTTCTCCAAGACCTCCCTTCCTGTCCCTCTTCAGGGACCTCTCTCATAAGAGCTTCTCCAGGTGGAAGTGGACTACCTAATCCACCTAGGTATCTCCTCAACACCAGGGTAAGGGCTTTTACTCCAGGTATTTCCTAACCCCAAGAAAGAAGGCGGGTTGCAGACCCATTCTGGACATCAGGCAATTGAATGTCTTCATCTGTCACTCAAGATTCAGGGTGATTACCCTGGCTTCTATCATCCCCTCCCTGAATGAAGGCTACTGGTTTGTGGTTCTTGATTTAAAGGGGTTTTATTTCCATATAGATATCTACGTGGTGCACCAGAGATCCCGGTGTCCCATGGTAGGCTCAAAGCACATCCAGTACAAGGTGCTCCCCTTTAGATTTTGAACAGCGCAAAGGATTTTTTACAAAGGTCATGACGGTAGTGGTAGCGTACCGAGGTTGGCAACACCACCATATATTCACCTGTCTAAACGATGGGCTCCTCAAGGAATGGCCATATAAGGAGGTGCAAGTAGAAATTCTGCCCTGCTCGACCTATGCCACTCCTGAGAACTTCAAGTAAACGCATGAAAGTCCGCTTAAACAGTTATTGGAGCAGTGCTAGACTTCCATGCAGCCAGAGCCTACTTACCACAGGTCAGATTCCTCATGATTAGAGACCTCAGTATCCAACTTTGCCTCAGTCATCAGATGACGGTCCAATCCTACTTGGTCCTCCTAGGACAATGACGGCATCCATCTATGTGACTCCCTTTGCCGGGTTCCACCTATGCAGTCTCCAGACTTGGCTACAAGAGTCTATGTTCCAAACAAGGACTCCTTTGACAAAAGAATCAGACTTCCTCTCACTGTCTGAGCATCTCTCACCTTCTGGGAAAAGAGAGACAATGTTTGTGTGGTGGTTCCTTTACTCCCACCCATAAAGGTAATCATGATTAAGGCTATGATTTGGTCACGGAGGTCGCAGACGTCACAGAATCCGTGACTTCCATGACCTCCATGATCTCAGCCCTGGCGGCTGGGAGCTGCAGGGTACTCCCACCTCCCAGGGTGGCCAGGAGCTGCAGTGGGGGCCGCCTGGAGTGGTGGGGGTCCCCCGCAGCTCCGCAATCCCCGTGGGCAGTGGGGGATCCCTGGCAGCTCCTCAGCTACTGCTGCCAGCAAGGGAATCCCCCGGAGATCCCCAGTCCCCACGGGCGGATGGGTCCCCCACAGCTCCCCCACTTGCGGGGAATCCCCCAGACCTTCCCAGTTCCCGGGGGGCCGCCACAGGTTGGGTTTCCTCCCAGCTCCCAGCCACGGGGCAGCTCAACCTTCCTTCCTCCCCCCCCCGTTTTGTCATGGACATTTTTAGTAAAACTCACGGACAGGTCACGGCTTCTGTGAATTTTTGTTAATTGCCCATGACCTGTCCGTGACTTTTACTAAAAATGTCCATGACAAAATCGTAGCTTCAGTCATGATAGATGCATCCCTTTTAGGCTGGGGAGCAAACTTGAATGAATGTATAGCTCAGGGCTCTAGACTCCACAAGAGGCCACACATGACATTACCCTTCTCAAGCTTTGAGCATTCCACAGAGTGTGCAAGCAGTTCCTGCACTTCATCCATTCTACTCAGATCCAGCTCAGGTCAGGCAACATGACCACGGTTTAATATATAAACAAACCGGGGGAGCAAGGTCCATATCACTCTGCAGCGCTGGAACTGGTTCACCTAGCATCAAACCTCCCTTTCTGCCGTGCACCTGGCAGGGATTATGAATTTAGGGATTAGCAGACAGCCTAAGCAGGAATTGTCACAAAGATGTTAGTGGGAGCTCTAATTGTCAGTGAGCCAATGGATTTTTAACCATTAGGGATTCCCATCTTGTGACCTCTGTGCAGCTCAGGAAACCATAGTCCCCAGCTTATTGCTCTCAGGATGCTCACGGGTGCTGCTCCAGAAGGGATGCCTTCCTAGTGTAATGGCCAGACCTGTCAATGTTGATATTCAAGCCTCAGCTGAGGATGCTTCCTTCAGTCCAGCAATCCTGAGATCTGTGGCAAGAGTTCTTCCTTGCACCCACCTCCTCAACAGTTATTGCTTGGGAGTCTCCTAGAGTGAATACCCATAGGGACCAGCACTTGTAGAAGAAAGGAGGGGTACTTACCTCATAGTAACTGGAGTTCGAGATGTGTGCTCCCTATGGATATTCATGACTCACACTCCTTCCCCTTTGCTTTGGATGACTCGTGGTAGAGTAGGAACTGGAGAGGTGGTTGGACCCTACTGCCTCTTATACCCAGGTGCAGGCATGGACCAGTGGACACTGCTATTGAAGGACTTCTGGTCCTGGGTGCATGGAGTGCATGTACACCTACAGCAAATACCCACATCTCAAATAACTCCAGTTACTATAAGGTACGTAACTTTCCTTTATTGTGCTCTAACTGGATGGTCAGGTGACTTAGGCCAGAGCTGTTCCACATCCTCTCCTGATGTACCTGCAGAGAGCAGGACCAGATATAAAAACAATTGCACTTGGTGCTTTAAACACATTAAACTGTCACACATGCCTGTGGAATAAGGATCACCTTCATTTTACAGATTGGGAAACAGAGGCACTGGAAGTGTTGGGTTGCTTTCAGTCATACAACTATTCAGTGCCCAAGTCAGGAATAGAACTTGATGTCTTAGGTCCCAGACCACAGCTTTTAGCTACTAGTAACACTGCATTGTGGTCAACAAATAGGGGCTCTCCCACTTTCTGTAGGTTACAGAAGAGCGAGAGCTCTCTACAGACTTCTCCAAACTGATGGGATGGGGAAGTTCTTCTCTAAGGAGTCATGATGTTATTCCATTAGCTAAAAAATGGGAAATGGAATGTTCCTGAAAGACAAAAGGGAAAGACATAATATTTGATGCTTAGTCCAGTAATTTGGAAATCTGTAGGATTGATAGCTGGTTATCATGTAATTGTCAGAGGTTAAGGCCAGTGCAGATGTGTAGTATGCCAGGCTACTCATTTGGTAGTAAATGAACAACACTGTAAGCAAAGCAAAACACAATTCTGTAACCCAGCTAAGATGCATGTAACAAAGACTGCAGCACAGAGAAGTTCAAAGGTTGGTACTAGAGAATATATAGATATATATTCCTTCTTTTTTCTTTCTCCAGAGCTTTAAAGCAGCTAGCTTCAGTTACTGATTATGCTGCCATTAAGGAGAGTGGGATAAGTCCAGTTCACTCAGCAGCAGCAGGAGCACATCCTCAGTGCCTTGAGTTTCTCCTCAAATCTGGGTTTGATGCCAATTTCATGTTGCATGAGAGAGTTCGCAAAGGCTACGATGATCAGAGGAAATCAGCTTTATATTTTGCTGTCTCAAATGGGGATATTTGCTCAACTCAGCTGCTTCTGGATGCTGGAGCCCTGCCAAATCAAGACCCCATTAAGTGCCTCCAGCTAGCCTTGAGAATGGGCAACTATGAGCTAATCAATCTACTGCTTCAGCATGGGGCCAATGTAAATTACTTCTGCAGAGTGAATACGACGCATTTCCCCTCAGCTCTGCAGTATTCTCTAAAAGATGAAATCATGTTAAGAATGTTGCTGAATTATGGGTACGATGTGTACCGCTGCTTTGATTGTCATCATGGAGACAACATTCGTTCCCCATATGCCTTTGAAGGATGGACTACTTCTGTTATCAAAGACAACATGGTAAGTACTTCCCTAGGAATTTTATGTCACTGTTTTGCTGCCACTATTTTTCTAGAAATTAAATAAATTTACTTGTTGTTGATGTATTATAATGAAATATAGTTTGCTAATATAGCATGTTTGGAATTAAAATACTATACAGACTTCATGTATAAAGGAAGTAGTAGACAGAGTTCTGAAGACAAGTTGTGGTGGTAAATTTGAATGTGAAGCCTTGTTTATGATAACAATAAAATAGTTTCAAGGATCAAATTCCAGACAATGTGAATTATGTGAACTGTATAAGTGAATGCCGGTCTGGCTACCATAAAAACAGCTTTTATCCAGGAACTGACAGTATAGAGCAGACAAGAATATAGTTTACACCTGATGATCCAATATGCAGATTAAAAACAAATGTACGCAGAAAAGTCTATTTTAAACATGAATTGCAAAGAAAATATATTCTTCAAGTGATGGTCTCTGTGTATATTCCACTGGGGCTGTGCACACACTCCAGGTGCCTGAGACCAGAAGATTCTTGCTAGCAGTGTTGTCTGTGCCTGCACCCTTCTTCTTCTCATGCTCCAAACGAAAGGCATAAGGGGGCGGTGCGGATGGACTGCCTTTCCAGTTGATTCTTGCAGCCTGAGGCAGAACTCCTTTGCTAGCTATGTATCATTAGTTAGCATTCTTCTGCTTCTATTTGTAATGATCTGCAAATAGGTATTAGATACATAGTTTTTATACTTAGTGTAGTTTTAGGGCTTGTCTACACGAGGACACTTCAAAAGTTAATCTGAATGAACTAAAGGTATGAATTAAAAGTGGGTTAATTAAACTGCACTAAACCCCTGTGTGGAGATTCTCACTCAGAATTAAAGTGGCCTTATTTCATTTTAGCTTTGGGTTTTTCGACAATGAACATTTAGTTTGTGGCAAACTGAGGTGCGAATCTACCCCATACTAGCCTGCTGCAGACTAACTGTCTGTGTAGACTCTGCTGATGCTCATTAACAGTTTGCTAGCTTGCTTTAATCTAGTCCATTTCAAAGAGGCCTAGATTAAAGTGAACTGGTGGACTGTTAATGCATATCAGCAAGGTCCACATGAACAGTTAGGCCTTGTCTACACTGCCGCTTTACAGTGCTGGAACTTTCTCGCTCAGGGGTGTGAAAAAACACACCCCTGAACGATGCAAGTTTCAGTGCTGTAAAGTGACAGAGTAGAAAGTGCACCAGCGCTGGGAGTCGCATTCCCAGCGCTGGTAGCTACTCCCCTTGGGCGGGTGGTTTTTTTTGCAGCGCTGGGAGAGCAACTACACAGCCACATTAAAGCACTGCTGCGGCAGCGCTTTAATGTTGGTAGTGAAGACATACTCTTAGTCTGCAGCAAACTAGTGCAGGGTAGATTCAAACCCCCGTTTGTCATGAACAAATTGTTCATGTAAACAAGTCTCAAATTCACTTTGGAAGTAAATTAAGCTAAAACGAATTAAGGCCACTTGAATTCTCAATGGGAGTGTCTATATAGGGGTTTAATGCAATTTAGTCCACTTGTAATTCACACCTTTAGTTAATTCAGGTGATATTTCCTGAGTGTCTCTGTGTAGACAAGCCCTTACCGGTTCAGGGCTTAGGGGGTCCTCTCCCTATTCAAACCACTCCTTCCTCCATAGTATGCCCAGGACCCCAAGATTCAAAAACTGTGCATCTTGCCCTCAGGCCTTTCCAGTCTGTGATGACTACCTCAAGTGTCTCTAGTGCCTCAGGGAAGCCCACATCCCTTTGAAGTACAGCGTTTGCTGATCCTTTCATAGCCAAACCTGTCAAGCTCGTGAGCATAGACTTTGAAGATTCCTAATGGATCGTGCTATGAGGCCCCAGTCTGATCCTGGCCTATCAGACCCCCCTGTACTTTGGGCAGAAGAACCAAGAAGTGCCTTCCAAGTATGGTGGTCTCCAGCTTCAGGACTGATAGGAGTAAATTAAAGGACTCTTCCAAAGAGGGAAGTAAATACTTGCTGAGAAATGTGAAGGCCTCTTCTCTGAAACCCTCCAAGTTGGGGGAGATTCTGTGCCTCAGTATGGAAATCTGAGGAGCTCACAAGAAGCACAGTACCATTCCCCTGGCTCTGAAGGGCAAAAACACCCCAAAACAGATGCTAACTGTAGGAGCAGGACCATCCCTGGTACTGATTAGGGAAAAACAACAGTGGACGCCTCGTACACTGACGCTACTGATGCATCATGAAAAGGAATTGCCAGAACCAAAGACTGCAATGAGACTGATACCACTGGTGCCATGGAAAGAAAGAAGCCCCGTCCACTCTCCTGCGTCAGAGGATAGATAGCAGTGTGCTCAGGGGCAGTGTATCTACATGGTGGACCCAGAATCCCTGATTCTGTTGGAACCGATCCTGACAAGGGAGATCCCTACACCATTGGTCCAGGGCATGCATGAAACAGAGAGCCACTCACCAGTACGATCTGCAAACTGGAACATAATAAGGCCCATAGAACCAGTTCCTCTCCAGCACAGGGGGAAAGAATTTTATTCAAAATCATTCCCAATAAGAGAGGAGGCTTGAGACCCATTCTAGATATCAAACAGTTGAACATTTTCATCTGTCGCATGAGGTTCAGGATATTTAAGCTGCCTCCATAGTTCCCTCACTGAACAAGGGCAATTGGCTTGATTTAATTCACACATCTTGATTCAAAAGATGCTTATTTCTACATAGACATCGCCCCGTGCACAGGAGATCCTGAGATTCACCATGGGCCCGGACCACTACCAATACAGAGTGCTGCTCCCCTTTGGCCTCACAACAGTGCCAAGGGTATTCGCAAAGAGGCTATTGGTAGTGGCAGCCCGCCTCTGCCACCAGGACTCATGAGTGTTCCCCTACCTCAATGATTGGTTACTCTCATCAAATGGTACAGATGGCAACCACATCTCTCCTCAGTCTCCTACACTAATTGGGGCTTCAAGTAAAAATAGAAACATCCATTTTAATTCCCACCTCACAGACTATAGACTTTATTGGGGCGACCCTGGACTTTATCAGTGCTAAAGCATACCTACCTCATGGTTACAGTCAGTTCATGAGGCCTGCCACTATTTCCTACCCTTCATTCAGACCTTGCATATCCAAGTCACACTTGACAACAGAGTACTACATCAACAAGGGGGGAGCAAGGTCCACTGCTCTTTGCATAGAAACAGTCAATCTGTAGAACAGGTGTATCTGCCACCAGATCACCCTCTCAGCAGTGCACCTCCCAAGGGTATACAGCATGTTAGCAGACAGTCTCAGCAGGCACTTGTCTAGGCATCATGAATGGGAGCCTACATGAGTTGGTAGTACAGAACATATTTCAGCAGTGGGGTTCCTTATCTTGGAACCTCTTTGCATCTGAGAAAAACAGGAAATGTCTGGCCTACTGCTCCAGAGGGGACGCATTTCTAGTTCAATGTTTGGGCCCACTGACATACACCTTCCCACCCATTCCCTTCTTACCTTGAGTTCTGAGGAATATCAAGTAAGAGGGAGCATTGGTGGTATTGCTTTCTCCCAAATGGCCAAGACAATTCTGGCTTGCCAGCATTCTCCAGATGCCAGCATGCCCATCTGTATCCAAGTCTTCCTGGACCTGTTGACCCAGGACAGAGACAAGCTCAAACATCCCAAGCCAGCATCCATCCACCTAACAGCCTGGTATTTGAATGGATGACAAACCTAGAAAAGGCATGTTTGGAGGCAGTACAATCCATCCTTAGGATTCCACAGGGAAGTGCTACACAGCAAAGTGGGAAATATTTTCCATCTGGTGCCAACGCCGCCTGATAACCCCAGAGAGTTATCAGGATGATAATCCCTGCCATTTTGGACTACCTTCTCTCCTTAAAAACTTCAGGATTATATCTTCACTCCCTGCAGGTGCACTTAGCAGATGTCAGCGCACCTTTCGCCCATCCTGTTACAGTAGGCGTTCTAAAAGATCGTCAGAACCTGTCTTCCAAGAATGAAACTACCTCGATATGGTAGTCCTAAGTGTAGCCCTATCAGCATTAACAAAGGCTCTGTTTGAACACTTACCTTCATGCTCCTTAGTCCACCTATCAATGAAGGTTGCCTTTCTGGTTGCCATCGCCTCATCTAGAAAAGAGGGTAAACGGGGGGCCCTTATGGCTGATCTGCCTTACGCAGTCTGCCATAGGGACAAAGTTTCCCTGAGATTATGCCCAAAATTCACCCCCAAAGTGATCTCGGAATTTCATCTAAAGCAGATTGCTCACTTGCTCGTTTTCGTCCCCTAGCCAAATGCCACCAGTGAGGATGGAAAACTTGATTCTCTGGACGTCCATCAAGCTTTGGCATTCTACTTGCAAAGGACTAAATCCTTTAGGAGATCACCTAGGCCAGTGGTTTTCAAACTTTTTTTCTGGGGACCCAGTTGAAGAAAATCGTTGATGCCCGCGACCCAACGGAGCTGAGGATGAGGGGTTTAGGGTGTGGGAGGGGGCTCAGGGCTGGGGGCACAGACTTACCTCCGGCGGCTCCTGGTCAGCAGCGCAGCCGGGCTGCAGAGACAGCTTTCCCACCTGTCCTGGCACTGGGGACCGCGCTGCGCCCCAGAAGCAGCCAGCAGCAGGTCCAGCTCCTAGGCAGAGGTGTGCAAGTGGCTCCATGCAGCTCTCGCCTGCAGACATCGCCTCCCCACCATTGGTTCCAGGCCAATGGGAGTGCAGAGCCGGTGCTCGAGGGTGAGGGGGAGCAGCAAGCGGAGCCCTGTGGCCCCCTTGTCTAGAAGCTGAACCCGCTGCTGGCTGCTTCCGTAGGCACTAGCCTGCCTTAGCTGGCAGCACTGCTGACGGCACTCTTAACGTACCGGTCGGTGGTGCTGATCAGAGCTGCTAGGGTCGCTGGGTGCTGAGCAAGGCAACCTGATGCCTTACATGCCACGACCCAGTACTGGGTCGCAACCTGAACTTTGAAAAACACTGACCTAGGCTGTTTATATCCTTTATGGAATGCATGAGAGGGGACACAATCTCTTCTCAGAGACTTTCCAAATGGATTTTGGCCTGCATACTGCTTTGTTACAAGTTAATTGCAGTTCCTCCCCCACAAGGTGTGATGGCTCAATCAACTAGTGTCCAATCTGTATTGGTAACTTCACTTTGAGAGGTCCCTCTCCTGCAGTTCTGTGAGACTCTGTTCACTCCTTCAGGAGCTGATTATGCCATGATGCAAACTGCTACAGCTGATGGATCCTTCAACAGGGCAGTCCTCCAATCTGTGGTAAGCAAGGGTCCTTGCATCCTCCTCCTCAATGAATACTGCTTGTGAGTCACCCACAGTGGAATACACATAGGGACTATGTACACTGTGGAATACACATAGAGACCATCACTTGGAGAAAAAAAAAAGGTTATTTACCCACAGTTTTTTGATGTGTAGTCTTTGTGTATTCCACTACCTGGCCTTCTTCCCCTCTGCTGTAGATCCTTATGTTAGGGCCGTTTGTAGTAAAAAGGCAACTGGAGAGGCAGTCGGTCCGCACCACTCCATATGCTCTCATTTCAGAGCACAAAGAGGAGAGGGATACAGGAATGGATCAACAGACACTTCTGGCAAGAATCTTTTGGTTTCAGGCATATGGAGTGCATGCACACCCAGGATGGAATACAGATAGCAACCATACAGCTAGAAGAATTCTAGTTACGGTACAAGTTTTCTTTTTGCCCTTTACTGCTTATTTATAGTTTGTTTTATATTAGAAGTATTAGGGCTTTCTTTGCTGGAAGACTTTAGCAAAAACCATATCATCACTTGAAATGGAATGCCACAAAGCTGTAGCCTGAGCTGCCACTCATCCAATAACTCCTTCTCTGTCCAAACATGTTATGATTTAGGATGGAGGAAGACCTGCAGCATAGGCAACTGCTTTATGTGACATTACAATTCAGGCCTTGCAGCAATCATGCCAAAGAAGGCCTCTAGCAAAGAGAACAAACCATGAACTGGCAGTTTTTGATATTCAGGTTAAAAAAAACACACACTTGAGGCAATCTTTATGAATTGCAAAGGACTAAAACAAAAATATTTTTTCTTGCTTCACAGCTCATCTTTACATTTTCAGTATAATACAAATGTAACATCTCACACCTACAAGTGTGGGTGCGCAGTTACCACAAGTGCATGTGGTTCTAAACCCTTTTCCCTATTGTATTATAACAAACGCATGCACGGATGTGCACATTTTAAACCTGCTGGTTGAATGTTCACTTCCATGTAACTTTCACAATGGCTTTAAGCTAGTTGAGACTGAAAGCGACTAGCCATCAGTTTTTCACATTCTGTTTGAAGATTTATGTGAAGCTTATTACAACCAGTCCAACCTCTGAGTGATACAGCACTCACCCACTCCTGGCTTTTCTTTGGGAATTTAATTGTTTATGTCCTGCAGAGGAATTTGAAAAGGGGAAATGAGTCACAGAAATGTTGAATGCTATACTCTTAAATATGTTGTTTTTTCATCTCTTAGTTCTGTGACGTGATAACGCTGTCATGGCTGAAGCACGTAGCTGGGAAAGTAGTGCGAGTGATGCTAGATTATGTTGATCATGTTAGCATCTGCTGTAAACTGAAAGCAGTTCTCAAGGAACAGACACTATGGCCAGAAATCAATTCCATTTTGAGTAAGTGTCAGATGTTTCGAGTTTTGGATATTTCAGAACTCTAGAGGACACCACTTTTTGGCTTGCTTATTTGCTATATCATCTTGGCATCATTGGACCAGATCCTCAAAGGTATTTAGGTGCCTAACTTTTATTGATTCAATGGGAGTTAGGCACCTACTTACCTTGGAGAATCTGAGCCAGCATTGCCTTGTCCTGCCCATCCTTATAACAAAAATCAATTAAACTTCAGACTGAAGTAAAATTTCCAAATACAGTAGGCCTTGGAAGTGTTTGCGATAAAAATATTACTAAGTCAAATCTGTAAGAATGTGTATCATTTTGGGTGGTTCGGGAGTTCCCTAGTTACAAAGCAGCAGTAGGATATACTTACTGTAACTTAATTAAATGCATGCACATTGAGTCCACAGAAATATATACTTATACTTTGTTTATGTTGCTCAGGACTAAAAGCTTTTTCCTACACTATTGCTGCTGCAATAAACTCAGGTCTTTATATAAAGTATATAAATTGGCTGTTTCTTTCCAATTAGATTATTTTACTCTAGTCACATAAAGCTGTTAGCTCATCTGGCCCTGTCATTTCCCCCACTAGTAACTGCAAGTGCAGTTAAAAAAAATAAAGGGGCAAGGATGACGGCTGTGTAATAGGGAAAAGTTAAAACACCCTAACCACTCATTGTAGTCTTTTTATTATTCTCCCGCCTCTGTGCCTTAATGAGGCAACAGACAACCCCTTTATGCTTTAGGCCTAAATTACCCTCTGCCAAACTTTTTCTTCAAACTTCAGTTAATTTGTGTTTCAAGCTTAGATTCACAAAAAGTAGGCTAATGCCTCAGTTGATTACACTTTCAAATGTTACTATGATGTATTTGGTGATTACTTAGGCCTGGTCTACACTGGGGGGGATCGACCTAAGATACACAACTTCAGCTACGAGAATAGCATAGCTGAAGTCGACGTACCTTAGTTCGACTTCCCTCGCGTCCTCACAGCACGGGGTCGATTGCCGCGGCTCCCCCGTTGACTTTGCTTCCGCCTCTCGCCGACCTGGAGTTCTGCAGTCAACAGGAGAGCGATTGGGGATCGATTTATCGTGTCTACACTACATGTGATAAATCGATCCCCAATAGATCGATCGCTATCCAGCGGGTAGTGTAGACGTACCCTTACAAAAGGCCAGATCCTGATACCCTCACACATGTTGGGTAGCTGCTTACTTCTAGGAAGCACCCGTGATTTCAATGTGTGTGTTCAGAATTAACATACTATGCAACAAGTGTTAGGGAATCAAAATCTGGACCAAAGTTTCTCAAATGTTGCTTGGGGCTATCATGCAAAAGTGAAGTTGTTTCTTGTTTGATTGGTAACAGACAAAGTCTTTTTTTTTTTAAGCAAATCCACGTTCATTGAAACATCTTTGTCGTCTGGAGATTCGGAAATGCATGGGTCATTTGCGTCTGCGTTGTCCTGTCTTCATGACCTTCCTTCCACTGCCCAATCGTTTGAAAGAATATATACTGTACAAAGAATATGATCTTTATGGACAAGGAAACTGGATAGGAACCCACTAACCCAACTGCATAGAATCATAGGCCTATATTTTGGAGAGAATATGCAAGTGGACAAAGACTGTATTGTATGCAATTCTTTTTCACTACTAGGATTTTAGCTTCTAAAAACCAACAAGTCACTTTGGTGAACATTTTTCTGGATAAAAATAAAAAAAGTAGAGTACAGAAAAAGTATTGGAAACTCAACATGTAGCCCTCATAGCAGAAAAAGCATCCAGAACTTAACAGAAGCAAATACAGGTAATGGCAATAATATTTTAAAGTTATCTAGCATCCATGTTTAGGTCAGCATTTTCAAACAACATATGGAATGGGAAGTGTCCTTCAAGGTATGTGGGTCAGATTGTAACCAGGAGTTCAAATTCTTCTCCAAACTTCTTTGGAGCTGCAACTCTTGCTATACTTCTACATCCTGCTTCTGTTGAACCAAAGTACTGTCCTAACAACCTACGCTGGGGTATTTCAGTTTCTGACTAGAATCAGGGAGAGGCTTTCCCCCTGCTCCCACCCAAGAAGAGCTGGGAGGAAGATGAAGTTGTTTGACAAGGTTTTGACTTTTTAAGCTTTGTTATTTCATCCAATTAGCCAGTCCCCAATTTTAAGCAGTGAAATGGGGTTAAAGGCCATAGAATTCTTGTTATAAACAGAGCGCCAGTATGTAGTGAAACATTCAGCGTTTGTGTTTTTTATTCGACATCTGCTTTCCTGTTAGAGAGGGTAGTTCCACATCTCATTCTTGGTATTTAAATGTCCTGTCACCACAGTAATTAAGCGCTGGTCTACATATAATCTGACCTAGAGCAATCTTATTTTTTCCTCTTAAAAGTTATAAGGATGTCCACAGATATTTGGAGTATATTTTGGACCAGCTCCCTCAATTTCCCACCTATTGCCATATTTTGGGGGAAGAGTTTAGAGAGTATTGGTTGAATTTCGCATGTGTAGCATTTGAATACCATCCGATGCAATGTTAATGCAGAACTTGGAAGATGTAAAATGTGAATTATGATTAGGCCCGGTGGGTGATACAATGGAGACCGTTTCCCTAATGGGACTTGAAAAGGGCACATTATTGGATACTGTCGTAAGATCAGTCACTGCTGTATGGGAGGAAAAGGCAATGCCAATATGCACTGAATAATGCTTTGGATATACTTATGTATTAATTATGAATTTGCACTACAATACAGTGCAGTACATAGCTTAACATTTACAAACCCTTACATTTCTCAAAGCTAGGAACAGTTTCAAGTGTGCAAAATACTGCAGAAGAAACAAATAGATATATAAAAATGAGCAGTTCAATAAACGTGACAGGCATTAATAGTATTTATTTTTTCATAATCAAGTTTATATTCAGGTAAGTATAGATTTTTATTTATACATGCATCTGTATCACTTAAGTTACATAATTCAAAAGTCCATTTCCCCCTCAGAAAAATCTATAAACTTTATAAAATACAGATTGGACTAGTATCTTATGACTCATAGCTTCTTACAGGGTGCCTACTCAAGTACTGAACAAAACTAATAAGCAGGTGGGAAATATGCATTAGTAGCTGTATTAATGGGTCTGACACTATCAGGTTGTGCTGGTAAAACTTCTGTACCCATCAATTCTGTTCATTAACATAACCACAGTTCTTTAGAAAGTGCTATGCACGCATGTGACAAAACAAACAAGATGTGCATTAAAACAGCCAACTAATGTAACAAGAATGTTTTCCTTTACTGTTCAGTCTTCGATAGTTCCAAAAATAAATCAGAATAATTCCCCTCCGTTTTGTTTTTATTAAATACAATAAAGTGTTTCACTGAATATATCTGGGTAACATTCCTGAATTAATGACAGAATCAAAATACATTTTGACAACATAGGGCTTTAGCTATTTCTGAAATTGTATATTTAGTGGAAAAAGAACAAAACCATATTAGTAATGTGCTAATTTTTTTTTGGAAGCAAGCATTAGAAAAAAAGACTAGATTTTTTTAAAGTAAGTCTAATTCAAATAAAGATTATTGTACAAAGCCAACTTTGAACTTTTTATTAGTGAACTCAAATTAACTGAAGCCCTGGCTAACATATTTAATATCTATATTTCTGAGTTTAAACCAATTATCAAATTGATACTAGGCATAACCATTTGAGATGATGATTGCTTTAATACAAATATTCAGGGAAAATTTTATAAGACTCTTAAAAACATTGAAAAATTACTTATACATCACTAGAACAGGACCAATCCAGTTACATTATGGTAAAATTTTGACCAATCCACTACATTATAAAATCACCTGACTATATTTTACAAAATCCTAAGTTTGCATATAAACATTATGGAACACCAATGCAGGCACAATGGCATACTGACAATATTTTCATGCCAAATTATACATCACTGTAAGCACAAGAAAATTACCTTATTGTCTGTAAAGAAACTTTGGGAGTTCTAGTAAACAAGAGAGTTTCTGTGACAGAGAGCAAGGGAGGAAAGAAAGTAAGAAGGGTCAATTATTACAATGGACAATGTGTCTTTCCTGAATTCACTCAATACGTGAAAAAGTTCTCTTAAAAAAGCTGAGTAAGATGCAGGCAATGACTGTCTTTGTTTGTGAATTATGAAGGAATTAACTTGTAGAAGTTGTGATTAAAGAAACATTACAGATTTATTATTCTCACTTATAACAAATGCTTCAGGTTTTTTTTCTGGGGGTGGTGGTGGAGGAGTGGGTGTTGGAATACAGCATGTATTGTGAGATGCAGAGTCATTAAAACAAAACAAACAAACAACTCCTTAAACCTATCTGCAATTCTTCAAATTACGCAAAAGTTAAAAACAGACTACCTGCAGGTCAGGAGAGCCGTTTTGTTTAATGTTTGAGATGAGATTATTAATCACTAATTAAACAACCCTACCTTCTTCTTAAACCCAGTGCAACTGTCAATTCTAATTTATAAAAATAAACATACACATAGGGCCTATATCCAGAATAAATCCACTGAAGACTCTAATTATCTCTAGAATTACTCTGAATTTACACTCATGTAACTGAGCACAACTGACTAGATTTCAGAAGAGGAAAAAATCAGCTAATTCCTATTGTTAAAACATGGAGTCAACGCCAGCATCATGATTACTAACAATGTTTCATCTGATTTTCTCTTCCAGACCCCAGAAATAATGTAATAGACTACATATGCAAATGAGTTTCTTAATTGACTGCATTCAGTTCCTGAGGGGACAACACCATGGACCTTTTAAACTTGATTAGAATGGCAGTGTCAAAAGAAAAACTTTTCCTGGCTATGAGGGGGATATACACACAGTATAACACAATGCATTACATAGCCATAAACGCCCATCCTTACATACATGAAGAATGTATGTAACAATACCTAGGTTACCCTGAAACATGTGAACATCAAGATTTACCTCTTGGATGAATAAAACTGGATATTCACCTGAATAAAATTTAAGTCTACATCATGCAACAAGCATGCTAACCACTTATTTTTTAGTTAAGTGGTGACAACTATGAGGATACAATTTAGCAATAAAAAAGATGATTAATTCTAAGCAACGGTATTGCCAGAATGCATGTGTGTTAAATGGCATTTTAAACTCTTATTTCTAGGTAACTGAGCTTTTAAAAGGCCAAACATACTGGTTTCACATGTTGTAGGACCATGACTTCAGGTGCTATCGATAATATAATTTACCCAGTAGCAGAAAGATGGGAGGGCAAAGTATTTAAATAGAAGTGAAAACTGAATGAAGAGTTTCTTATCAATATTTCAATCTTATTCCAACATGCACTTTGATAGCAATCTACCAACCATAGCCAAACATTAATGTAGGAAAAACCATGCCAAATTAGCTAACTTAAGAACATGGAGCTTATATGTTTTTTTAAAAAGTATTACTTATTAGAGTCTCTGCACGCCACTCAATCATTGGCATTTATTAAAAGTTTACAAAAATCTTGGCAAAACCACTTTTCCCCAATGATTGACTTGCAAATTTTACACAAAATTTGGTTCCAAAATCTGTTACATATGGAAAAAAATCACCTCCGACAGCTCCCAGAAGCTAACCTGAAACCACTGTTTGAAAGGAGCAAGTACATTTGGAAACTAACACACATTCACACATGTTCTGCTGGGTAAAATCCACTCCACAAGGCCAAACAGCTATTTTGACATAGGCTATGTAACAATAAAGCTGGAAGGTAATACTACCCTTCATGAGAGCGGGATGGTACCTTCTTAATCTGCTTTATACCACAGGGCTGATCTATCCTTCAACCACTGTCTACTAGTAATTGGCCTTGTTCTTCATCCTTCCATCTCCTTTTAGACTTTAGATCCCTTCCAGACTACGGCAGGAGGCTCACTAGCCCTACCTGCTTACTCACTGCCAGAGCAGGGGTACCTCTACACAGCCAAAGCTGTGCACAGGCTAGTCTACCTGAACTAGCTTGAATCCCAATAGTGTGGATAACCGTAGTAATGAAGACAGCACAATGCAGGGTTCAGTGCAAGTAGTACGAGCCCAGCACAGACCTTGTGTATATATTCTGCTTGCTCACGCATGCCACGCTGTTTTCACTGCTACTGTACTCTCGGTAGCTAGATTCAAACTAAGTCAAGTAGGGTAGCCCCATGCATAGCTTTTGCTGCGTAGATACACCTTAAATGAGACCAGTGCCCTGCCGTGGCCCAGCGCCATGAGAATTCATAATTCAGAGGGAAAAATGGTCGCTCCCAGTTGCTATGAGGCCAAGGGAGACATGCATGAAGGGAAAGGCAGGAAATACAGGGTCTTGTAAAAAATTACCAGTACATGCCCCATACATATGAGGCTTGGGTGGTTCTATCAGGGTTAACTCTGGTAAACCCCTCTCGGCTTTGAAGTAGCTCTGGGTCACAGATCCAGGCACCCCCATCTCTCAAGCACTGCAAACTAAGTATGCCTGACCTCTCTCACTACTAGTCTCATCTCCATCTCTTCACTTTAGCCCCCTAATCTCCTTGAGCATGCACTCTCCTCATGCTGCCTCCACTTCCTTCAATGCTCTCTCTGGATCGCCTTACATCTGTTTTTAATCCCCTGTAGGCAATTAAACTGTTTTACCAAGTCTAAAGACCTCTCTTTTCAGTCACTTCAAATACCTCCCGGATCACCCACTTTATTCAATTCCTTTCTTAAGGTACTTCCAACATCAAGAAATGGGTTTTCAGCTTCTTTTTAGTAGCTGAGTCATGCTAAGATTCTAGAAAAAAGATGCTTCTCGCTCAACTATCAGGCTCAAACAACTATCTATCATGACATTAATGCAGAAACTAAGAAACAAATGGAAGAGATGCAATAATATCAGGTCACATCTTAAAGACCTACATGCCATAATAAATTCTACACACCTACACACACACACACCTCTTCCCTCTTATTCCTTGTAGAGCCTTTCCAGGCTTAAGTAAGTCTAATATTTATGCTAGGGTACTTTAACAAGAAATGAAATAGTCTAAATATCTATGACTCCCTGTGAGCCATGGACAGCTAGACTCAGGATAACTTAAACCAGCTGGCTTAAAAGCCAAA